ACGATTTTTATTGTTTGTTTATAAGTGATGCACATCATTTCACCAAAAATGGGTGATTAGGCCATCAATTTAGTTGATGGTCCTTATTGCTTGTTTTGGTGAAATGATATGCATCACTTATAAAACTCTTATAAACAAACAGAAAAATCGTCAAAAAATTGGCCAACTTTGTGGCTATGATTTTTTTCAATTTTATTATAAACTATTTTTAAAATTTTACAAGAAGAACTTTCAAATACTAAAGAAGTTGCAAACTCAGACCAAAAAATTTGACTGATAGCTTCTTCTTGCTAAATAAGCTAAGAAAGCAAAATTTGTTTAAATTTTACATATGAAATTTAGGTGCATCAATTATTTGACCTATAATTAAAAATTTTACATGTGATATATCGTGTGACTGATATGAATTTTGTACAATATATTACAGAATTTTTGTATAATATATTACAGAATTTTCATATAATATATGAAATTTTGTATAATATATTACTAAATTTGTATAACATATTACTAGATTTATGTAACATATTATAATATATTACACAAAGTCAGTAATATATTATACAGAGCCAGTAATGTATTGCACAAAGCCAGTAGTGTATTGCACAAAGCAGTAGTATGTTGTACAAAATCAGTAGTGTGCTGCACAAAACCAGTAGTATGTTATACAAAAGCAGTAGTATGTTATACAACTTTAATAGTATGTTACACAACTTCGGTAGTATGTTATACAACTTCAATAGTATATTACACAACCTTATTGGCTTTGTATAACACGTTACTAGGTTCGTATAACATGTTACTAGGCTTATGTGACACGTTACTAGGCTCGTGTAACATGTTATTAAGTTCGTGTAACACGTTACTGGGATCGTGTAACACGTTACTGGGTTTGCATAACACGCTGCTGAGTTTGTGCAACACGCTGCTAGGTTCGTGCAACACGCTGCTGGGTTTGTGCAACACGCTGCTGGGTTTGTGCAACACGCTGCTAGGTCTATGCAACATACTGCTGGGTTTGTGCAACACGCTGCTGGGTTTGTACAACACGCTGCTGGGTCTGTGCAACACGCTGCTGGGTCTGTACAACACGCTGCTGGGTCTGTGCAACACGCTGCTAGATTTGTGCAACACGCTGCTAAGTTTGTGCAACACGTTACTGGGTTTGTGCAACATGTTACTGGGTTTGTACAACATGTTACTGGGCTTGTGCGACACGTTACTGGGTTTGTGCAACACGTTACTGGGTTTGTGCAACATATCTCTAGTTTTGTGTAACATATTACTGACTTTGTGTAATACGTTGCTAGTTTTGTGTAACACAATACTGGCTTTGTGTAACGTATCACTGGCTTTGTGTAACATATTACTGGCTTTGTGTAACATATTACTGGCTTTGTGTAACATATTACTGGCTTTGTGTAACATATTACTGGCTTTGTGTA